GGGAGTTGGAGTCAGTGTTCCTTATGGGTCCCTTCCAACTTGAGATATTCTATGTTCCTATGAAAAGTGAGGGTTTTACTTTCCAATCTATAAAGAGGGAAGGATTTTGATGAGCTATAAATGCCTCATTACGTCTTTCTTATTTTGGACATTACATCTGTATTAATACACTACTGTGTTTGCATGTTAAACACATATAGACGTTTTCTCTTGTTTTGCCTTTATTGCAATCAAGTGGTTTTACCAAATCAAAACGAGACAATTTGGTATTCTCAAGGTGATTGTTTCACTCTGGACCTATCTGGTGATCACTGGACTGTGTGATGACCCTGGTAACTGTCACTGGACGTGATCCCAACTCTGGTCTGCAGATTCACTTCTTAACACCACAAATTTGCCTCATGATGAGTCGTCTTTGCTGAATCTGGCTGCCGTCTCTGCGTCTACCCTGCTCCCCTCACCTCACTTGGTACTGTGTAGCTGGGTCCTGGCTGACAAGGACCCTGCTCTAGCGGCTGTGTTTTTGTGCTTGACTCCTGGCTCCCTGACCCTCCAGGAGCTGCTGGTCCCCACTGCAACCTGACAATCTGATTCTTAAGACATACCCAGTTTCTGACTTTTTATTCTGATTCAAAATAAAAGCATATTACCAACTGCTGGGAGCCCTCAGAAAGTCCAATTTTACTGTATGTGTACTGAATCCCATTTGGATAGTTAATAGTGTAGCAAAGAACATCTTGTAATGTCCAATGCTTTAGTGACCATGAAGTTGAAGGTTTGCATGGAGACATTGTAAAATGTAAAATGCCACCAGTTTCTCTTGTTCTCTATTGTGAATCACAGCCTTCTCAATACCACAATATGCTACAGGCTTTTTCAGTCTGCTGTCAAAGCTTGTATCCTCTCTGCTTTTTTTCAGGAGGAGCCTGCCATGTCCTCTGTAAGGGTTGTCTATCCATGGCCCAACTATGAAAAAAGGGATGGCACAGCAGTCAGGCCTCCATGAGCAGCCTGTGCTGGGAAAGCATCATGATTTCCAGCTCCAAGACTCATCATCGAAGTCTAAGTTTGCTGCACTGAGCCAGTGGCATGTTAAGTTTGTGCGTTAAGGATTGGAAACAATCCCTGTGCTTACCTTCATCTGGGAGCATGACCTCTGCCCCCATCTTCGTCCAGCTGCTCCAGTACGGTAGGACTCAGAGAGTGTCTGCACTGCGCAGCCCGGTGGTCTCGGGACAGGGTGCACATACTCGGCGATACAACAGCACTGGGTGCACGGCGAGGTGCCAACAGCGGGGGGCTGCAAGGGGTCCTCTGCGAGAGGAAGGCCGGGGGCTGCCCTGTGCCAACCCACCACAGGGCACAGCTGAGCCTGTCAGCCAGGCTGGTGGTAGGAGGACGTAGAAGAGTCAGGAGTGCAGGAGTGAAGTTGTGTCCAGAAAAAATGGGGGAGTGAGGTATTGGTTTAATTTTCGGTTCTGTTTCTCACTATCCAAATCTATTTGAATTGTCAGTATTTAATTTTCCCCAAGTTGAGTCTGTTTTGCCTGTGATGGTAACTGGTAAGTGATCTCCTTGACTTTATCTCAGCCGACAAGCTTTTCCATCTTATTTTCTCTGGCCACCCCGTTGAGAAGGGGAGTGAGAAAGCGGTTGTGTGGGCATCTGGCTGCTGGCCAGGGTTAACTCATTGCAGTAACACACGTCATTGACCAGTCCCAGGCAGGCTATACAGCATGTGATCAAATTGTCTGCAATGTGCTTAGCTGTGGTATTAGCAATTAGCAACGCGGCAAAAGTGTGTCCCATGTGTCCCATCTGCCTCTGCTACAAAAGCAGAAGAGCTTGGCCAGGATGCTGTGACTGCTCAGGCTGTCCCTGTTTATTCCACTCTAGCGTGTGGGCTGAGGTGACTTCTCAGGCACAAATCCACAAGCTAGACCCTTGCTTTCCTGACCACATAGACTCAGATACCCTCAGAGGCCCAGATGGAGGATGCCTGAAGGCCCAAAGGAGACTGGATTCAAGAGAAGATGCCCTAGTTTTGACTACCAGCGGAGTTCCACACATAGATATCAGTGAAACTGGAGTAGTACTGCCACTTCTCACTGCTAGAGTTGAATTAGTCCTGCATCCATACATGTGCTCATGAATGCCACAGCTTGGACACATATCTAGTTTGGGGTGAAGGCAGATGACAGGAGGTATTAAACTTTGAAAACAGTACTGTAAGAAACCACTTTCTGTTAGCATTCAAGTGATCCAGCTGCGCTTGTGGCAATGGGCTGGGCAAATAATAACAATCTACCTTGGCAACACCTCTATCTTGGAACAACTCTCTTTGCTTTGAGGCATATGTAAAACACACCCTAAGGATTAGGGAAGTTGCAAGTACTTTAGTGTCTTCTGCAGGACAGTCTGTGATCTATGTCCTTCCATTTCAACATAGCTGCCTTCTGGTGTTTTCATAAATGACAGCTATAACTTAAATGGGTTTTTGAAAACCACTGATCTTATTTTCAGCCCTGAGATATCTGTTCTCCAAGCCTTCAAATCCCTAACCCTAGCATGGAAATAGTTTTATGATTTTTATATTATAAATATACAGAAAGCTATTTTTCCACAGTATCTTCTGGTGACTGGGCAAACCTCAAAAGGTAACTCCAGCATGTAGCCAAGATAATATATTTCTGTCTTTGGCACTTTGAAACTCAACTGGATGATTAGTCTCTGGGGTGAATGATACCATTCATTGCACTGTTCTCTAAGTTAAGTGTATTTTTTAAGTCATCGCTTTCCTTCCATACATAGCACTTTGACTCTTCTTTCCCCAAGTATACCATAACACCTACACTACGACGATCATGAGCAAGGCATTGAAATCCAACTAAAGCTTGGCAACACTTCATAGATGATGATTTTCCATATACTGCTCTTTCACTAAAGAACTATTGATCTAAGCAATTCTGCTTGCCACCAACTCCATGCAAGTTTTTTCAGCTTAAAGTACACATTCTTCCTCTGACAAACCCCGTCCTGATTTCTCAGCAGGGTTAGATCCTTTGATCCAGAGGAACTACAGTTCCTCTACCACATTGATACTAACTCAATGTTGCTGCTGTAACTGCTGTTTTTATGACAAAGAGGAATGGGCACTAACTGATGTGATAAGAACGTACATTTGGATCTAAATGGAGCCCTGTTAGAGACAGCAGTGTAATACCCTGTTCTGATGTTTCACATCATGCGTCCTGTGCAGAAACCGGACTGTCATGTGCATTTAGAGAGCACCCTCTTCTGGGGGCAGCAGTGAAGGCTGCTCTACTCAATTGCAGAAGATCTGTCTCCTGTGAAGTATCTGCTAAAAAATGGATGTACACCAGAAGAGCTGGCTAAACACAGAAAAAAGCACTGCAGCATTCTGAACCACCTCCTAACTTCGCAGCCAGTAAGATGTAACTGTTCCAGTGGATTTGACTTAGATTCTTAAAATGGGGTCATGGCCTATGATTATATCGTGGGTCCTTTCCTGGACTGGGAAAAACTCGAGCACAGGTCTGGTAAATCTCTTGTTAAACTGTTGCAACTAATATGAATTTCCAAGAAGACTATATAAGTCCACAGAAAGCATAGCACCACTTCGATCTGATTAAGAAAAATTCCTATGCACCACATGCATGTCTTTACCCGGCTCACCCCCTCCACTCATAGCAAAGGTGGGTGCAGGAGAACACCTAGACTTTCCTTCCACTGCCAGGGTGTTTCCAGCTTCTCATGTGCTTTGTGCCTGAAATGTTTGCAGTGTTTTCTGTTTCGCTTAGACTAATTCATTGGAATTGCATTGGAATAGAGGGAAGCTACCTGGTGTTTCAATAAAAATAAAGCAGCCTTAAAATGCTATCCTGAAGAGAAAAATCATAGTGACAGACAAAGCTTAATAAAAACTGCAATTAAAATACAGCCTTAATGAAATTTATATACATAACTTGTATACAGAAATATTTACTTACTAAACAAAATAATCTTAGCACATCATTCTGCTATTTTTTTTAAACTTCAACAATACTTGTTATTTCAAAATTAAACATACGCAACAATTAAGACTATCCAGTTAAAAGATAAATAATCCTAGTTTATATCTATGTCTTAAGAAAGTAAATGACATTAAAATTACATTGAATACTGTAGATTATGTTTTTACTTTTGAATAGCAAAAAACATACATATATATTTTGGGTAATAGCTCTGTGACTTTGTTACATAAAAATCAAGAACTATTGAAAGTGTTGATCTGCTGGAAGTGTCCAATGAAATTTTGACCTCACTGAAGTCAGTGAAAGATTGCCATTGACTTCAGCAGAGCCAAAAAGGATTTGCTGCTATCCGAATGCCACGGCAATTCCTGTAAGCCTGCAAAGCAAGGTGTCAACCAGTGCTGGCTCTCAGGACCACAGATATTCATTTCAGCCTGCTGCCGCCTTTACACCTGTGTGCAAGTGCAGCCAAATCAGATGTACTGGTAAAATGCGCAAACAGAACATTGTTAAAAAAACCAAACCAAACATGCTTCCTCCTCGGTGTCAGAGCAGGACTGTGTACAAATCTTCTTTCCCAGCATGCAAAATGAGATTGTGGTCTGTCAGGTGATGGAGGGCATAGCTAGCACCATGGGTTGTATGCCAGTTGAGGGAATATGCTGTGGCCCCAGGTCATGGAACTGCGCTATGTGGTGCACATTCAGGCTATAACGTAGCGTCACAGCCTGTATCCAAACAGCTAGACGAGAAACTGTAGCATATAAAAGAGCATGGGATGAAGAACAATATGGGAATTTGACAGGTCTGATCAGCTGTGTATCAAGTACTGCAACCTGAGGCCTCACCAATGGTTTGAAATAAGCTGAGTGCAGTAAGAACTATTTGCACTCACTTCTCACCAAAAGGAATAAACCATGCTGAAGGATTATTGCTAAAGGCAAGGGGAACAGAGAGTCTGAAGTGTTAATGTTTCTTGTTCCTTTTCAGCTTCTGTTTGAAGATAGCAATGTCATAATAGCTTTTAAATTTCACCAGGAAAATAGGTACTGAGATGATAATAGTTAACATGCCAAGTACCACAGCTAAGGCTGCCGTCACTTGTCCAGCTGTGGTGAGAGGGACAGTATCTCTGTAGCCCACTGTAGTGAGTGTGATCAAAGCCCAACTGAAGCAAACAAGAATATCAGTGAAGTGCAGCTCCCCTGTGTAAGAAGGATGGCTACCCAGCAACTCCCCATAGGAAAAGAGAGAGACAAAGAAGAGGGTCTCAAAGGCCAAAATCCAATTATCTGCAGGATGCAAATCTCTGAGGATAGACTTGAGGGTGTAGCACAGAACCCTGAGGATCAGTGGTGTTTCTATCAGCTTGGGTATCTTCAGGAGTGTGAGGAGATGGACAATGCGAACAAAGCCCGAACAAAGCCCGAACAAAGTCCAAACAAAGCCCAGCCAAAGCCCTAGGCTTGGCATTCTCTGAATCTGCCCAGCCACAAAGAGTGCAATATAAACTGGGAAGAGGAAGTCAACCATGTTCAGGGGATTTTGGAAGAAGAATTTCTTGTCTGGGCAGAAACAAAATTGCACAGAGAACTCAAAAGTAAACCAGAGGACACAGAAAAGCTCCAAATGAAGCAAGTAGGCAGCCTGGCGGTAATAAGGTTCATGGTCAATGTGGGAGACCGCGGAATAGCCAACAGAGGTGAAGTTAGCAGCAAAGAACTCAAATGGTGCCTTGGTGTCCTCAAAGAATATGATGACAATTCCAACGATGAACAGCAAAGAAACAAAAGCCAAGCACTGCAGAGGGAGGAAAGGGCACATGTGCAATTATTCCAACAAAGAAGTATCGCATGACCTCAGTGCCTCACCACAACCCCAGGATCCCTTCCACAGGCACAGTACAACCCCAGACTAATCTTTCTCAAATCATCATTGTTCTGCTCACATGGAGTGCATTTTCTCCTTCCAGATTTGAAAAATAATAGAGAAGATTGGAGTAAAAGAAAAAAACCCACCTGAACTCCTATATTGGATTTTGTAAGGAAGGGGAAAAAACTCCAGTCCGACAGCTGGAGTAATGCAGACAGGCTCACACTGAGGGCCACTTCAGAACTAAATGTTGGTTCCAGAAATAACAGCAGCGCAGAAAACATCCTCCAGTCTCTGACTTGTGTTTGTTGCTCTGCATGCCTGACATTATAAGGAGGCACGGGGTATGCATTTTGTACGGAGAACAGGGAAAAGAGAAGAAGGAGGTGTCTAGTTCACCAGCTGAAATCCCTTCTGTCTGTCTGGACTGTGAGGCACTGATCATCAGTCTGTTCACTTTCATCCCAAATGTTAAACTCTTCTGGCTGCACCTCTTTATTATTCAGCTTCAGCAAACAGCAGGATGCTAGTGGTGTCTCCTTTATTTCCCACAAAACCAGCTCTTCTAAGACTGACCTACAGGTATCAATGGGGCAGTGGAAATGTTTGGTCCTATAATAGTTCAACGTGTAGCTAAAGATCTCAGCACTCCTATTGAAAAAGAACTCTTTGACGATGGTAGCATGGTTGTAGATGTTTGGGGCATGGGGCTCTGTTAGGCTGCACAGCTTGGTCCCTGGGAAGGTCTGGAGGGTGCTGCTGTATGTCTCACATCTGACCCCAATATTCAGGATGATTTTTTCCTTGGAGCCTTCCATCTGTGAGGGAGGAGGGAGGTACAAGTCCTCACAGGCTCTTGTTTATCTTCAGTCAAAAAGAAAATGCAAATTAAAAGAAGTAAAGTTGCTTATTTCCTGTAATGCATCCCATTTTGCTCTTCAAAATCCAACATACCTGGAGGAAACTTGAGCCCTGTTTTATGAACGTTATTTGAAGAAGGGGGGAAACCAAGGACCTCTGTAGCCTCAGGAGCAGGTAGGAGAGGTGCAGAATAGGGGCAGGATGTTCTTGAGAAAATCACTAGGGCTGTCTTTCACCCACACATATCCACTTCTGACTGTACCCCTCCACTTGTGCCCCTCCATTCCTACACATTTCCATCCAACCTTCTCTTATGCCCTGCATTTATAGTTCTGGCCCTTCTCTTCTTCTAACAGATCAAATCTGTCTGTCTTTCCTGCTTGGACTCTCTTACCCAGAGATGGCTGCTCAGTGTGCGGAGACATGCATGCAGAAATTCCATTGTCCCTCCTCCCTCTTTTGCAGAAAGTGCTGAGCATGGGAGTCACAGGCCACTTCTGTAACAAACCTTTCCATCCAGGATCAGCAGGCAAACAAGCCCTGCACGAGGGGAGACTCCCAGAAGTAAAGAACTACATGCAGCACCTCATTCAGCTTTATCAGAAAAGGCTGGAAGCTGCAGCTTGGACACATGCTTATAGCACAAGAGAACTACTGCCCATCGGCTGTCCTTGCCAATCCCAGCATCTGTGAGGCTTGATGCAGCTTCACCCTAAAACTTCCACTAACTTCAATGAGAGCAGGATTGAGCATAAGGACTAAAAGTGTGCAGGCATCGCTCAGTACTTGCTGCATAGGAGTCCATACAGTGTGGTTCTAAGCAGGTTAGATTAATTCAGCACTCAGCAAATCTGGAGTTACATTATTGGCCTCTGTTGCCTAGCTCTCTAAAGAGCCACAGTGATTTTTGAGATCCCAGCTAAACTTGCCTTCATCTGCTTAGACTACCAGATACCCCTTGCTCAAATATAACAATCCCCGTGTGAGAAATGAGCCAAGAAGTGCCATTTCATATTCTTACCTTGGTACTATTGCAGCAACTCTGCAACCTGAAGAAAGGAGAAGAGACTGGGAAGAACAGAGACAAATTCAAGTGAAAACAGGATGTTTGATGACTAGTGTCCAAAGCTCAAGTCTCACAGATGCCAGAAAACAAAACCAGCCAATAGCACTGAAAAGATACAGAGCCCCTCTCCCTTGTTCTCTGCCCCATCAGCAGTTGCTCTCCCCACTCCAGGAAATAACACTCAAACAAGAAGGCAACAATTGCCAGGCCAGATATGCTCTAACTACTCTGCCACCCACTGCTCTACTAACAATCTCAAAGGGCCATGGTGTTTGGAAAAATCGTGGAGCTAAAATGTCTTAGAACCAATTAGAGATTAAACTATCAAACCACAGAAAGGCAGAAAGAGCACGGTTCTTTCTTGGCTTGTGCCTTATTTGAGTTAAAAAATAATATGGAAGGCAACAGGAACAAACTAAGGAACAAAAAACTGGTCTCCCATCTTCTTGTCACATTCTATCCTTTTTTGGTTTAAAGGGCTTTTTCTTCATTTCTTGATGCCGTAAAGGTTAACTTTTTGCAACCATTGATTTTAAATGCATTTTTGGTCATTGATTACTCCAGGAAGAAGGTTGGCACATAGTTGTTAATCCTAGTCAAGAAAGGCATGCTGCATGTGAAACTTCCTTTCAGCTGACATTCCAAGGCCATTTTTAGGTATCACCTCTACTTACTTCAAACTCTCTGGAAAGAAAGTAGGAAAAGGAATTTTCTCATTCCCAGGAAGAGCAAGACTATTCAGGAAGTCTCTGGGGGCTTCCTTTTCAGTTCTACAACTGAAAAGCAGATTCATGTTTCTTTAGAGGAAGTAGTATCACAGTTCACTTGCTGGATTTTTCATTTTAATCCACTACTTACATTACCCTGGCACACTGAAGTCTCTTTTCTTTAAAAAAATAGGGGTTTTTTTAGGCCTTTTACCTAGATAGCAGTCTGGTTCTTTGCTCCTCATTGGCGCTTCACCTGCAGGTGCAAGTAACCTCACTCACCCTAACCATCCAGATTCCCAAAGTACTAAGGGACATCACAGACAATCCTGGCTTCTTTTCTCAGCTAACACCACAGCAAGGCTGCAGAAACTAGAATGGCAAATTGCTGCCATTGTGTGGGACATTCTGGGCAACAAGCCGTCTTTGCCCATTACGTCCCAATTCTGTACTGAGCAACTTTGTTGCCAGACATCACAAGCAGAGCACCAGCAGAAGCATAATTTCACTTAGATCCAGACTCTGAAAGCACATGAAGCATGTGAAAGCTATGCTGCTTCAGTCCTTGCTCCCTTCCATCTCTATAACAGACACCAAACTCTTCACATCTTTCTCCCTCTCCACAGAGAATAAGAATGAAAAAGTCTCCTTTTAATTTAATGTCTGATATGTCTCTGAGGTTCTGGAAGCGGGTGATCTGATCAAGTTTGATGTATCCTGTTCCATAGCACTGCCGTATTTGCCTTTTACAACCTTTGCCCTGCAGCTGATTTCTGAAACCCAGAAATAATCTGGAAAGCAAAATGACACATGGTGTTCCTATGCTCTGAATAAGACCCTTTGATTGCAGTAAACAGCTTGTCCTTTCAGAACATTTTTTGAGCAGATGAAAAGTGCAACTCCATTTCCAGAGAACAGGGCCCTATTCCAAGTTTTCTGCCTGCCTCGTATCTTCTGAGAATTCACTTTCACTGCATGAGGCACTACAGGAGTTTGGCAATGAATGTCAAATCTGCTCCCTCAACCTTATACTTCTTTTGAGTAATGAAACTCTTGTTTCAATTTGGCCTACATTTATTAACGCCAAAGAACAGGGCAGGCTTTTCTGGGGGGAGGCAAAGGGGAGGAGATTGAAGCTGTAATGAACTGAGGCATTTTTCAAAGATGGTATTTTAACAGAACTAATTCAGTATTTCTTTCCCATAATCTTTGGTATTTAATAAAACAAATATTTTGTACAGGGCAGATGTTCTATTACTTTTTCCCGTTCACTCATATTCAGATGGATATGGTCTCCACTATGCACTCAGGCATACTCACGTTAGTCTTAATCAGGCAGGGCTTTGTTAACTGCATTTGTGCTAGAATGTAAGAGGAGTTTTAGCCTTCCAGTATAAGCATTTCTTCAGAGAATGTTCATAAAAAGCTGGTGAGGATGAGTAACAGTTTTGCAAACAAAACCTTGCTCTGGAATATTGAGCAAAAAAGCTTAATCTATCCTAAAGTCCTGAGAGCCCTGGGGAAACACGAAGCTACTCTTTAGGTGCTGGAGATACATAGCACCAGCACCTACAAACTTAGCTTTTCTACTAGCAAAACCAGTTTAAGTAGCTTCTGTGGAATTTTTCCCCATCGCATGTTTCAGTTATACCTCCCTTCTGACCACTAACACAAGTGTATTCCTGGGATTATGCAAACAGATTGGTGAAAAAAGTTTAAAAAACAAGCCTCCAAAAACAAGGTGATCTATAGCCTGGGTTATTTATTGATTCAGCCTACTGCAAAAACCTGTAAAATGTCGCAACTGGAAAGAAGAGCAGTTAAGCCTTCTGCAAGTGCAGATACATACAGCCAAGGCTGGAAGGTCAGGGACACTGAAAGCATCTGTTTGAGATGTGCTACTTTAGTCCCCCTCCTCCCTCTCCCTTTAGACCCATGGCATGCACCGAGTTCAGTAAGGCCAAGCAGATACAGCGTGAAGCCCTACGTTATCCGCCTGCCTTCACCTCTTGCTGCGGCGACTGTGTTCCACATCCCATCAAGTTCAGCATCCTGCCCTGAAGTCCTCTGGCTACCCTTCCCCACACCACTCCCTTCACCTTGACCCCAAACACACTTCACCATCCCTCTGCTCCCCTCAGCTACATAAGGAGAGAACACGCCTGTTCTGCACCGGCCCCAAAACCCCTAAGTCCCTTCTGGCCGTGGACCACAGGCCCTGCAGCGAATCACTGGAGGGGGCCCCGCTACCCTTGGGAGACGAGTCCTACAGCCTCGGGCGAGCGCGGGATCCCTACGCGGGCCGAGAAACCCCGCAGGCGCGCGACGCCTCACGACCAGCCCCACGGCCAACAGCAACCGGCCC